GCAGAGGAAGGAAATGTAGATGAAAGTAATGCAGAAAAATCAAACAAACAGAGGCTCAAAACCGAATTGAAACACCAGAGAAAATTAACTGTTAAAGTAAAGCAGGAAACAACCCTAATCACACAGAAAAGACAACGAATAGTAAACACATTACAGAGGAACAGTGGGGAGGCAAGAACAATGATAATAATAATCATAAACCCACAACAATAGAAAAACTGGAAGCAGGAAATCCTGAAACGCATAAAAAACCAAACAAAAAAAAAGCTCAGCTATCAGGAGACTCTTATCTTTATAAATACACACATACATTTTAACAACATTTTTAACCTCTAACTCTTTCTTACTAAAGGAATTTTGTGTTTCGGGAGTTAGAGGTGTTTGATGTACACAACTGGGTCTTGTTCTCACTGCGCACGGGTGATCAGAGATGTAGCTTTGATGTAATTGTTACATGTTGTGGAACATCTATTTTATCCATATGTCACATTAGTATATCAAAAAACACTCTATAAAAACTTCTTCTGGTATTATAATCCCTTTATCTGTTGTTTGTCCTGTGTTTTGAACCATTTGTGCTTTGCCAGTAAGCACACAGAACAAAGGTGTTTAGCTCAGCTGTGGAGGAAACTGAGCGTGCACATACCGAACATATAAAACTGTAAGTGTTGCTGAACATTTTGCCAGGAACTCTAGGGCACAAAAATCGAATCTAATGTAGATGCTGTGAATCCAAGCTGTCTTCTGTGTAAGATGAAATTACGAGCTTTTCAGCATTTGGTCCCTTCTGGCCAAAAATATGAGGAGGGCCTAAATTCATGTACAATATTTGGTAATCATTTAATCTGGCAATAGCTTCTTTCTTGGGAGGAGCATTGACCAAATTGGTTCAAAACAGCCATGGCTTAGCAAGTTCAGTGAAAAACTAGGATCTAGTGTGGGAGCTGGACATAAAACAGGAGTCTGGGTTTTGTTTCACACTTGAACCGGGGACTATTTTAACCTTAAAGTAACCCCTCCCTCGGTGACCGCTGGAGAGCCTGGAGTCACCACACTGTTGTGCTAAGCCTGCCTTTGTTCTTGGATTCTTGTCAAGGAATGTGTTTTTCACTGGAAAAGCCACTAATTGTAACCGACACCGAAAACTAAAAACTGCTTATGCAATTTTCTTCAGTGCAGTCGCTGACCTGACCCTGAGCTGCAAGCTGCAGAGTTAAAAATCCCAACAGTAACTCTTCCTTGTAAAATGTGTCACGGTGACCTGAATAAGAGGTGTTTAACAAAAGCTTTGTTTCTTCTTAACTTTTAGACTCCTGGATTAAACTTTAAAAGCTTTTCAACATTTCAGTCATTTATTTTTTATACACTATGTAAATTTTTCACTCCCATGGATGGTGCGGTGTGGT